ATAAAAAGTTTCGAAGTACAATAGTGGCCTATAGGTACTTATAAGGACTTACATTAATTAAATAGACTTTTTTCCAAGAATCTCTCTTAATTTACCTAAATTATAAAAGTCTACGATAATTTTAAATCTGCGATAAATATCAATATGAGCTTTATTGCTGGTGCAATTTTTTTAAATTTGTTGAAATTAATGAGCATGTTTTAAAATATATACAACCACCGAAGGGTACATGTCAGGACGCAAGTTGATAAACCGACTTTATATCAAACATATGTTCCTATAATTTTTATAGGTACGTATGAAGCCTCACAATCGACAATGAATATAATTAAATGCAACGTCCTTTGATTTTTTAGAATTTAATACGTACATGCAGTGTGATGTACAGCTACTTGTAGTCGATAGCATTTCTCTTAAATTCGTATAATATTCCGATTTGAATGATACGATAGTCAATTTGTAAAGAAGCTTTGGAAAAATCATGTTTTTTTCTGTCACAATACAATCAGTGGCTGAATTTAGTGTATCGGAATTTACGAAATAATTCAAAACTTTTCTGTAGACGAAAAGGTAGATGCATATGATTGATCAACCTTTCTCTGATGAATTAAGTTTAAGACAAACCCATCCATTGAGAAAAAGTTGCCTATAGGTACTTATGAGGACTTAATCATAAAACGTGTATTATAAGGACTGTCTTTATAAATACCGAAAAAACTTTTCGATAGCAGTTGTAATACATAAATTTTAATAGATCATTTTCAAATTGAAATGAGAACATGAAAAAAAAAACTTATGATTAATTTTTTTTTTATATTTTATTTAACAAAATATCATAAAAATTAAAAAAAAAAAAAAAAATATAGTGTACTCTGTAATGAAACCTAAAGGTTCGCGCTGGTTTCATTTCTCGTACTTAATTAGCTTTAGAGATATATTACTTTGAATAGAAGTCATGGGTACGGTTAATTTTTCTATATCTTAAGGACAAAACGGAAGCTGGTCGCGAAATGTACATAAATTGTGTTTGTACATCAAGTCGATTTTAATACATAAGTTTCGATATAGGTTCCCAATTGGAGGCCGACTCGTCATACATATCCGGCTAGACCCTCTACCATGAAATAATAAAATTTGTCTATAAGAATTTTGCTTTGATTTTGTAAGAAACTTCTGTTTCGTTTAGTTACATGACCTTCAGTTCTTCGCATTTCCTACTCTTTGGGTTCTTATGGTTTTTCCCAGTGGTTACTTTTGATGGGAAAGCAGGAAGGAAAGGGAATTGAAGATAAAAATTTAAATTTTTTAAATTTTTAATTTGATTAACGGACGATTAGTTTTTAAGGAATCTTTTATTGTATAGAATCACGTTATTAGTTTAATTTAGATCATTTTGGTCTGTTTGGAGGTTGCTACGCGCCGCTGGATTTTTTTCTCCTAATTATTTCTTTTTTTTTTTATTTTAAAGCAGACCGAGTTGAAAAGCGGCAGTATTGGAAACTGAGCTGAATTTCTATTTTAGTTATTTTTAAAATAAGATTAAATTTTTATTGTGATTTATTTAGTTTGAGATTTCATTCTAAACTTTATTTAATTTCAGCCTAATCCAATACTTTACTCAACTAATAGGAATTACCAGGTGGCAATTTTTAGAAGATCGGGAGAAGTGTAAAATATTTGTATGTCGCCATCTAATGACTATTAGACTAACGATAGTTTGCTAGTTAACGACGATTGCTTGACGATTAGATCGTTTATAGCAACGAGGGGGGAGTTTGTTTATCTCCAGTTTTTGACTGAGACTTGAGTTGACCGCACGTATTTTTTCGATTTAATTAATTGCTGTCAATCTTTAATAAACTGTTTCTTTATTAATTAATTTTCTAAAGTTGTTCTTTGGTTTTATTTTTCAATATATAAAAAAAAGATTGATGAAAAACACTGTACCTCTCAAAATGTTTTGATAAAAAACATGATAAACTAAAACTCTCGGTATTAATTTCAATTCAGCATTTTACGATTCTATTCCACATTTAGTATCATAAATCATACATGTTAGTCCATATGCGCACCGAAAATAAATTTCTAATGTTTTAATACGAAATTTTTTATTCTTTACTGGCAAAGTCACCGTAGTATCGGAATCATTTCTAGAAATAGAATTTATTACTTCAGCACTGACAAAAATCTGAAACTCATTTAATAATCAATTAAAACTAGAACTGAATTAGAATTTTCATAAAATGATGGAAACAAATAAAATTTGTATTTTACGAGATTCTTTACTTTGTTATTGTTTAGAAGTTTATCGGTTACTTGTTGACTTACGACGACGACTTTTGAAGCACTTGAATATTCACAGCCAGAGTATTTTGGCTAGACTAGTGTATGAAAATTCTACTTGTAACATGTGGCTTGAGTTTCCACATCCCGCATGTTTTGTGTGAGTTTCAAAGTTACACTTCTGCACTTATTACGTGTGATCAGATCGTTTTCTTTATTTTCGACATACACACATTAGAAGTAGCCACAATATGGTGTCACTTCCCAATAAAAGGTATGTAAGCACTACGGACTTCCGTGCGGGTAGACACACCGCCAACTAACAGAAAAATATCAACAGTCGGTAAGACGTCAGCCTACCATATTCCACAGAGGAGCGATGTCAGTTGTCGGTGATACTGTCCACAAGTGGTCGATAATATAAAACAAGATAGCGTGGTCAATATTGCACATTGCGATAGAACCCCCCTTGGTTATCTACTATAACGATTCGATTTGCTGACTTCGGAATTTTAACACATCTCGACGTTTCGACGTGTGGGAAGATCATGTGAATAGTTTTCAAAAAAATTGATGAACGAACGTTTTCATCTACGGTTTATGAAAAACTAGTTGACACATCATCTTCAGGCCAATTCCACTAGATAGATAATCTAAAAAAGAAGAGCTAAAATGAGTTTAAGTATGATTCTCTATTTTTTTTTATTAGCGCAATGTTTTTCCGCTTTTAAGAACAACTTAAAAATTAAAAACTGGTAAAGGTTTCCAATCAATAAGTCAATAACGATTAGTCCTACGATAAAGTGCCAAAGTAATTTTGGTAGTAAATCAGTTTGCCGAGGTCATATATTTCTTATTAAAAAACAAGGTGCTCACATGATGTTGAAGCGTAAATGCCCGGAAAAAAGGAGACAATTCTAGACCTAATAAAACAGTTAGTCTTACGACAAAAGTGTAAAGATGATTTTTGTAGTTTTTTAGTCTCCTACATTTTTTCGAAAAAACCAACCGTTCTTCCGGCATTCTTGAAAAATCACATTTTTGATATGTCTCAAACACCGTAAAAAATTGTCTATTCTATAATGTCCTACTCTAAATTCTTCTGTAAACTCTATTGTTCTCAAACTGTTTTCGAAAATTGTTTTGAAACCGGTTTTATTCGAAAATATACATGAAATCGTAAATTCTATACTTAAATGTATGCGGTCTTCTTTGTAGCAGAATTCTATCTGTCCACTGTGCAATGTTACAGTTTTTTGTGGAAAGTTATTCGTTTTCAAGACATCCACAAATTAGCGTTAAAGAATACCTTAAATAATAAAATACTATGTGTAAACATATCCAAATGAGAGTTACTTTCTAATTTTCTTTTCCATCGATCAATCGAAATCGATATATGGGATGCACTGCAAATAGCCTACCACCAATTAGTAATAATTGTTTTTTCGATCCAGTGAAATTATTATCGAAATCTAAAAGTCGGTAGATAGGGCTAGAGAGAATGGTCCTAGTATAACTGGGAACAGTTCGGTAAAATTTTGGCAAGAAAAGTGCTCCAATCCTGAGCAACAGTAGAAAAAACCAAACATTCCATTTCTCAGATTTTAGCAATTAAGAGAGAAAAAGTGTTCTCGAGATTTTTTTCTTTGAAGTAGTTAAAGGTGGAGGAGATAAAAAAAATAAGGAGGCCTGGTAATACAGAACGGTCTACTTTACATAGGTACATTTTTTAAAAAAAAAAAAACTAGTTTTTCGATTTTTTGCTTTCGAGAATAATAATATTTCAAATTATTAGAGGTATAGGTAAGGAGATAGCTTACTTCCTTATGTAGAATGATAAGATCTACAAGTTTCGCTTAAAGAATTTTTTTATTTCTCTCGCATTTTGCGGGATAATTAGTAAAAAATAGGTCTAAGCACACTTCGTGCTAACACGATGAACTTCCGATTAGTAATTATTTATAACAAATTTGAGTAGTTATAATCGATGTTTGTTGTAAGCATCCAAATCTATGTGATATACGCATCAGTTAATCAATAATTACAATTTTTGATTGTTTATAACAAATTCCTATTGTCATAAACAATGTGTAATTATTGAAAGTCATATTTGGTTGTGAACAATAATATCTAGTCAGTATCAACTCAATTTTTGAATGAAATTGTTATTGTTTGACTCAAAAGTATTGTAACTAGCTAATTTTTTCATTTTTTTTCTTAGCTAATTTGTTATAAAAAAAAACGGCTCGATTGAATTCGTCTAAATTTCTTTCAGATCTTCATGATTATAACTTTTGAATCAATTTCAGTTGAAGACGATAATTCTATCCGTTCTTGAGATATCAAAAACGAAAAAAAGGCTGACGTCCATACATACATACATACATACGTACGTACGTACGTACACTCATATATTTCTAAAAATTGGTCAGTATGCTTGCGAATAGCATGAAACGTGGAGATACGATGAAAATTAAAATTTCACCTATCGGTCCAATTTCAGTAACTTCCTAATGGGAAGTTAATAAAATCTAACGGGTCATTTCTACGTTGTTTCTTCGTACTAAGAATTGTTTTCAGTGACTTCGTAATGATTTTCTCTAATTCTTAGCCGTATCTACCGATTTCCTTTTTTTGACTCTAATGCCACTGAGTTATTTATATTTTTTTGAGTCAGGAAAACTATCAAAACAGTAACATTATTTCGTGTTTTGCAGTCCTCCATCACCACTTCCATCTCACAATGGATTCATTGACCAATCATATGTCAATACTTTCGATTTTGGATCATCAGATAGTCGAATAACATTGAAAAGTTCAGAAGGTCTCAAGCTTGATGATGAACATAAATTAATAGCACGTTACGCCCATCGACTAGCACAAGAAATCGAAATTACGGTAAGAAAAACATTTTTCTTTATATTTCCGTCTGTATATTATAAATTTTCTTGAATAATCATCATCATCAGATTTGATATTTCTTTACGAATCTCATGTGACTTATATCTTGAAATAATTCACTGCTAATTTTTTTTTTAACAATATATGAAAATCGATTTCATGTTAATGTTCTATTGAATAAACAAATAATTAAAAAATCTTTTTCTATGACAACAACATGATTATTAAATAGTAATTTTTTTTTTACAACAATGGAAAAATCGTACATTTGAACAAAGTTATGGATTCAATTCTGCAAATTCCGCATTTTGACATACCTCGACATTTTTAGGTCTTCAACGGATGTAAAAAAGAAATATTCCCTTTTTTCCCAGATTTGTATCTATATAAAGAAGATAAATTATTCATTTATTGTGCGTATTACATATGATTATCATATCATTGTAGAAATATTTAAGACACAATGATTTTTTACATCATGCACAACGAAAAATTGCAATATTTTACATCCTAGAAATTCACAATGAGACTAACAGTTATTTCTAAATGCAAAATCAACTGGATTTTTAGATTTATTTGGTTTAGTAAATGTATAACTACTTTTAAACTATGAACAACGAAAAAGATTGATGTATCGTGGAGACGAGAGTTGATTATGAGTCAGTGATTGTAATTTAATAATATTATTTCTCGAGTGTAAATTTCAATCATCTCGTCGTAGTAAGACACTGTCTGAAAAGTATCTTACAAAGTTTTTCCATATTTTAAACCCAAAAACATCTCATGGTTGAATTTGTCCAGTAGCCCCTTTAAAAAAAATCATTATCTCAATTCCTTTATCCAGTGGTTTGGTAGACGTGACAGCTTTAAAACAATTGTCTAAACCATTAAATTGTGAATTCTTTTTCGCTAATAATGCTCATTTTTTTAAATCGGAATCATCGACTATCATCCCAGCATCGATAGCAGTTTTAAAATTTTCCAACGTATATTTGCAAATTTGAGCTATTTATTCTTTGTATTTTTCGCCTTGGTTTGTTGATGTGCCCAGCGTTTTAATTGCCGAGAAGACTGTACATTTCTAAATTTTTGCTTAACACTATCAATACTGAAATTCTTTTTCTTACCACTCTGCCAATTCTCAACTTCTCGTAATTTATAATCATGACTTAAGCTCTCTTTATTAGTAGTACATGCTCTATCAGACACTTTTGGTTCATGGATTGCAGATGCACATTCTTCGTCTTCTATAATTTCTGCTTCCAATTCCCTACATGGTTCTTCAAAATGCAATGAATTTTCCTCCATCATTACGATATCACTATACCCATTCATTGCATTTAATAATATTTGTTCAAAGTGATTCTTCACTTGTATTTCAGCATCATTTACAGGTGTCTCAATACTTTTCCTAGTTTGAAATCTTGTTAAAAGTAATCGAATAACATTGTGGGGGTTAACTTCCATTTTCAACTATTTAGTGTTACACAATTTTAAGAATAAAAGATAATCATATTTCTATTCTGAGCACACGATTTTATACACATATGAAATAATGACTATTAACCAAAATTAAAATGAATACAAGATGCAAAGGTATTCATTGACTACAGTATTGATTTATAGTTTTTGAGTTATAGATTTTTTCGAAGGAAAAGAATCGTTTTTTTGGCATCTATTTCGATGTCATTTTAAGAATTGCAAAGACACGTATCTCGGAAAATTTTATGCTCTTCAGATTGAAGTTGGTCCCATCAAAAAATAATTTTTAGTTTTTAAGTTTTAGAATTTTTGTTATTTTTAATAAAAAAAAATGTATATCCGCAAGTTTTATTAAAATTAAAAATCACCTCTATAGGGTGTCAACTTTGGAGGTGATTTTCACCCATTCAAAACGTTTCACCACAGCAAATAAATACGTGGTTCATTATTTGCGACGTAGATTATTATATATAGAAGCATCAGCTAAATCGACGGTGACCACCTCGCGAGGTTTCCTTGTGAAGATCGATTTTTGTGCTTTTGTGTACTTCATGGCATTCTTGTTCAAAATGATTCTTTATCTCAATTTCCCGAGTCGAAAAATTCTTTAAAATTGTAGACGACTGTACTGTGTTTTTACTGCGTTTGTACATACATTCGGCATTATTTCTGTACTATGCTTACATAGCGAACAAATGCGTTCGTAGCACATTAGAAGAAGGCCAGCAGTACGGCCGCATAAGATGTAAAAATTGCCCGCATAATTTTTTCAAGCGCTTGTACTGGATCTGCAGCGTGTCAGCATGCATCCATCGCGTGTCCGTATTTAATTTGCAGCATACCCACAGATGTAAATATTTCATCTGCAAAGGTATATTGAAAATGTGTAATGAAAATGAATTTTCTTTCGATTATTTATAATTAAGTATCTATTAAAATTATTAAAAATCAAAATTAAATAAAATATCACAAAGTTTATACGACTTTAAAATAATCCATACTAGAATAACATAAATATACATATGTCTATGTATATAACTATATTTACAAGTATATCTATCAATGGATCATTTATGGACACACTTATTATATTTTAATTTAGTATACTGATTATCATTATTGTTGTAAGGCTGGACTTGAGGAGGATGACTAAATTGTGCAAAATATGGAGTTTGTTAATATGAGAAGTAATATTAATTTTGGTTATTTGGATAATATTGTTGGTATTGCGGATGAGAATAAGGTTTATTGTCTGGATAATATGTGGATGCCCCATTATTATAATTATAATTCATTAAAGATGGACGATTTTCAATATAACCTGGTGGGTTTTTCTTCATATTTTGGGAATAGCATTCGGATTACTGATAATAATTATAAGTGTTTGGCGACGAATTTGTTGACATATTCAAATTGTTTGTAGTTATCACGTTGTTTCTTGGTTTTGGTGGGAAATTTTCCTACATCGATGGTCCTGGTAGAGAATTTTCTTTTCTAGCTAATGTGTTATCTTTTGGTTTTGATGGTGTAATTTTTGGTATCATTGGACCTGATAAATCATGATTTTCTTCAGCTGGTATGTTATCAGGTGTTATTGGGCTCGGTAAAACTATTTCTTCGGCTCTTGAAGATTGGCAAACGCATTTTTTTTCGGGTTCGAATGCATGATTCATTCGAATCTGATTGTTCATGTTTTGTAGAGGTAAAAGATTTTGTAGATGGAAAAAGTCATTAATATATAACTACAAACATTGTAAAATGTAAAAAAAGAATCAATTGTTGCTAACTGACAATATCGGTCATTCCTATTCTTCATTCTCTTGTTGTTTGAGGATTGTTCATCTTCCTGTGCTCTACTTTTTGGTGCTCGTTCGCGAGTCTTCATTTTGAGATCTTCTTGTAATTCCGGTGGTAATTTCGTATTCTCATAAACTGAAGTTTTTTTTTGAAAATATCGTTATATTCTGCTGTTGTCCGATCGTTGTCATGTCTTTTTTTTATATACCCTGTAAATAATTAAGTAAATACGTAAGCTTTCCGAATGCCAATTTTCCCGGATGAAAGGAAGCTAATTTAATTATGTAAAAGTAAATTAGTTAGATTTAAAAGTTAACTGTTTACATTTTCTTACGTTATTGGAGTTATTCTTATCACTACAGTTTGAATTTTGAATAGATTAATATTGTTACTTATAACTGCTTTTTGAACACATGGTAATCTTTTCTGCTGTTTCTGTTTCTAATGTTTGTTGTTTCTTCAGGATTTTATCTAATAGTAATCGCAACATCGTTCTTTTACAGCTGTTTGCTCGAGAGAACCAATTTTTCAAAATCTCTGTCTTAATTTTTACGCCGGTGTTAACGTTCAAGCTGTACTGAAATTCAAAAATGAGTTATATGATGGGCACATGCTATGTTTATTAAACTATTTCATATGATTTATAAAAATTATTATTTTGCAAATCGATTCCGCGAATTCGATAGACATTGGTAATTCTATAGAAAATAGTTCAGTATTTTTATGATAAAGCTGTACTTTTTAGCTAAATATTCTTGATTAATTGTAAATCTTTAGGCATCATTAGGCAGCCAGGTAAAAAAGATTATGCTAGAAGATATAAAAAGACAGTTTAAGACAGGTGTCTAAACACTTCCATGTGTAAAATGGTCTAGGGAATTTTCCAGGCGAAGAAAACACTAAAAGAATTTTAAAAATTATTTACCACCAATGATGATTATGACATTGGAATTTTTTGTGTTTCCAAATACTTCCTTAACAATATTGATTGCATTTCATGAGCTGCTACAAATTCTGGTGTAACTGTAAAGCAGAAAATTGACAGTAAAAAAATAATGATATTTAATGTATGTGTGTGCATATTTATGTATATTGATGAATAGTTTTGATGTCTAACCTCGAGAAGTCCAAATGCATCTCTTATAGTTTTCACAACCAGCATTTTCTACAGAATTAGCCTGTTGACTGTCATTCTATAGTGCATTATCTTTACTATCATCGTGAAGATATTTTAATTCATTCGTTTCATTTTCCACTTATTTCAACCGTTTCGTTGACGTGTTTTTCCCCTTTTTTCTTGTTTTTGTCACTTTTAACTCTTTAGCTATCATTCGATCGTTTTGTTTGTCCTTGATAACCCGACCGAGAACGTCAACTACAATTCAATACACTTTTTAGTATCTGTGATTATTTATCATGTTTAATTTTTTTTAATGATTGGCAACTACAGTCGCTAAATACTTTCATGAAATTGTTAGTATTTTAGCTTCGTACAATTCTACTATTCCTCAATCATCAACTCAAGGTAGACTTCCGATCCACATGCGTCAGAGAATATTTTTATCCACTTTAGTTCAATCATTACACTAAATGACAGAGCACATACATTATTCTGTCTAAACTATAATAGCCTATTTTGTTTTGAACACTTTTTTCTTCATTTAACAATATTTCACTTTTTCTAATAAACAACTAATAAACACTAGTTGAGTATAGTA